TGTTTTACTAACCTGCAGCATTGACTAGAAAGCTAGGCAGTAAAGCTGACAGAGACTGTCACGAGAAGCTGTAGTGGATGGTACCGTGATGAGACACTCCACAGAGAAAAACTGAGATCTAAATAGGGCACAAGATGATTATTAAAATAACTGGAATCCATGTATCAAAATGCAACAACAAAGCAGCAGGCTGATTATTCAATAGGATCAGCTGAAGTATTTGGCCTTTCTTTGACAGATTCATATGAACACTGTTTGATTTAATGTGCTCCTCTGGCTGCCATTACCCTACAGTGTATTATTCAATTTGCCACTATTACACTTCCCAAAATCTCACATTCTTTTTAGGCTGTCACAGGCAGACTGTGGGTGCAGAATAAGACAGGAATATATTATTCTGTGATCACTGCCTGTACCATCATTTTGCATCAATTCCAGCTCCAGAGACCTGCTGGTGTCTGGCTGAAAACCCAGAATGTCTTCAGAGAGGCAGCTAGCACAGCACTGCTGGCAGAGTTGCAATCTCTCCAAGTTTGCTTCAGCTTCACAGCAGCCCAGTAATTCCAATTTCTCCCTGATTTGTCATGAGATGATAATATGACAGACTAAAATGTGTTACAAAAGCATGGCAGGCGATAATGTGGCGTGTGAGGATGGGATTTTACTCGAAAGATGAGCTTGCTCTCTTTCTAACCTTTTCCCACATTCACTGGAAGAACTTTGCAAATGTTCTAATTTGAAAGTAATGTCAAGCTGGAATATTTTCCAACTTGAGCTCAGTCATCATTGCTGCAGCTCTGATCACACACAGCAAAGGGCTCAGAAGAACAGCTAAACAGCATTTTGTTACATGACATGCACTGTGTCAAATTTACACAAGAAATCAAACCAACTAATTGGTGTAAAAGAGATGAATTTACCAGCAGGGATAAAGGGAGTGACTTGTCCTGTTTTAATGCAGAAGTAAACAAGAAGCTGATTGTCCCAAACTGAGCAATACTCAAAGTGACAGAGAAAAACAGCCAAGCAATTTATATGACTCCACTGTTTCACTTAGCAGTCACCTTTGGTGGCAGCTGTAACAAGATTCAATTATATTATATTCCCCTACAGGAAGCAGTGATTAGGTTGTCCTCTTGAGGTGCAAAAATATCTGTCAATAGAAGTGTCCAGCTACTGAAAGAGCTCGAAATCTTCTAAACATGGCACTGAGCAGGCCCAGAGAGCAGAAGGGTACATAAGAAACCCTCTCCAAGAGGGCCAGCTACCCTGGGACAGTGAATTGCAGGACACTCCCAATGGGAACCCACCAGCAAGATCCCATTTAGAAATTCATCCTGGTTTTAGAGATTCCACTGCAGTATTTTTGAGGCATTGCCTTACTGCCTTGACTGCTTCAGGTCCAGCTGCCAAGGCAGACGTGGAGTGGTGCAAGATTCAATTAAACAGTCTCAGTGTAGGAGGCAACACACGGAGCCCACTTGGGCAGGGGGTTTCCTGCACATCTGTCACGTCCTCTCAGAGGAAATCTCCACCTGGTCTGCTGTGTACAGCCCTCTGGGCAGTTACAGAGTAAGAAGGCTTGTCTTGGCAGAGGTTTCCTTCATTATTTAATTTCTAAATGCAATGCTAGTTCATTCACCTGGTTTTACTGGATTTTCTCAATTCAAATTTAATACTATGCCCTTGACATTCACTCTATTTATTAAACCTGTTTTGGTAATGATAACAAGTGCTTTGTCCTAGATGCCAGGTCAACAATGCTTCAGAGACACAAGACCTTAAATAACAATATTCCAACATCTCAGCTGCACTTGGGGGAGCAGACTGGAAAAGTGGAACCGTATGGTCCATATGACAGGAAATTCTGTTGTGCACAAACACAGCAGAAGCAACAATCTCAGCCATCTCTTAATACTTGATAGTTTCTTGAATTCACACAGAGCCAAGCGTGGTTTCCCCAGCCGGATTCAGAAAGCCACATCAATTTTGGTCTGATTAAAGGCTCATTCAAAACCACAAGAAGCAAAACAATGTTAAGTTTACTATGACTGCCACATTTCTGTGAGTGCTAGTACAGAAGATGAATGAAGTCCACATGGTTCCTTGCACATGGAATACAGCTCTGATTTATATTAGGAATGTGCACCCCTTTATACAATGGCTGCTTGATTATTGCAGAATGGATCATTATGTTCCAATCCAATACCTGTCCTGAACTAACCATTCAACTATTTCATCTATTAAAGCCTACAGAAATATTACGAAATTGAACAAAATGTCTGGTTCATGATGTCACTGGATTTCAAAGCACAATCCTTTTTGATTTCAATATACCTTAAAACTTACTATTTTTTAAATAAAAGTCAGCTCTCAAAATAAGATAAACTACACAGAGCAGTTCATTGCTGCTTTGCTCATTAAAGAAGCAGTGCAAGGGCACCAGGAGGAAGACAAGGCTTTAGTGTGTATATGCCCCACGTGAAGAGGCCATTTGGTAACCAAAAAAAACAATGGCTCCAGGCTTGGCACTTACATGCTTAGAAGCTGTTTAGGCTGTGAAAAGCTGGGGGATAACCCAGCTGCTGCCTGCCACTGCCCAGAAAGGGGAATGGAAAAGGCAGCACCAGGCACTGGAGGTGAAAGGATGAAGGACAGCAGTCACAAATGGCAATAAGGAGAATTCAGACTGGACGGAAAGAAAAATTTGTTCACAGTGACATCAAGAAAACATTCTTCACAAAGGAGGCTAAGCAGTGGAGAAGGATGCAGTGAAACCATCCTCCCATGGTATTTTGGAAACTCAACCAGATGTAGCCCTAAGCAACCTCATCTAAAGTTGAAATTAGCCCTGCTTAGAGGAGAGGCTGGACCAGCTGACTCCACAGTCCCAACCCAAATTTTTTATGTTTCTGTCTCACACTAGACTGCTTAGAGCATTGCTCAAGATTTCAGCTTTCTTCTCTTGTATTTTAACACTTCCTTGCATTACAAATATTAATTCTAAGGGATAGGGGTACATGACACACTTAATTAAGTTTATTACTACAACAAGTTTTAGGGAGGCAAGGAGATACAACAAGGTACAGGAAAACACCACCAGCACATCTAGGGGAACTGTTTGCAAAGAAAACTCAAAGCACAGTGACAGAGCCCTTTATAGCTTTGAAGCAGATGTAGATCTATAAAATAAATTCACTCTTGCAGACACCTGGTTTGCATGAGCACAAAAGTGCTACTTGGAGACTGGGGTCTAGCACCACTGGTATAAATTATGCAGATGTGATACACAAAACTATGATAGTTTCTTTAAAGCCGGAGATCAAACCACTTTGGCTTGTCTTTAATCATGCCTGACAGTTTATAAGAATTATACTGATTTTGTATTCCCCCCTCACTGCTGTATTCAATGAAGTGCTTGGAAAGAGGTTGTTAAAAAGCAGTACAAAACAAGGAACTCCTGTGTTTGTCCACAGATCTGAAATTTTGCATTCTCTTTCCACTGCCCTGCCAAAATGCCCAAATTATAGTCTTGAAGGAGCTGGTTTTTAGTACCCATGAGTTGGAAAAGCCCATTATGATTTTTTTTTACTGAACCCAAGATTTCGTCTCATTTGAAGGAAGCTTCTTACCAGTCCTGCACATTTTATTTTGATATTTAACAAACCAGACAAGGAAAAGAATCATTACCACCTAAAATCATTGACAAGTCCTGAGCAAAGATGAGCACTGTAACTAACACACAATACATTTTCAAGTATGAATAACATAGTGGTTTGTCATAGAAAGGGCTGATGATCATATAAGGATGGTCTAAACAGAAAAAGACTTTTCAGTATCTACAAAAGTTTTCCTTTTAACTAACAGACACTGAGCAGGAGCTGAAAGCTTCTGTTCTGAAAGCATTTTTTTTAAATGGCACAGAGGAAGTGAATGGAAAGAGTAAATTCCTGTTTTCACTGAGGCTGACAAAGCCAGAGACAGAATTTGGGTCTGACAAAGAGCCCCAGGCTCCAATTTGTGGCCACTGTTCTTTGCTATATCAACTGATATGACCAAGAATACTTTTGTTCTGTTGTCTTTGTTTGCCTCTCAAACATTTGCAAGCACTATTAGAGTGCCTTTTTACCAGACTAAATAGGCCCAGCTTGTCAGTGTCTCTTCAGAGGATGTGTGCTCCAGACTGTCTTGGTAGCCCTCCAGCTTTCAGTACATAAAGATTCATTGTCCAAAGTAAAATGAAGTCCCCTTTGTATCTGTTGTAATAATATAACACTGAAAGAGTTAAAAACAATGCAGATATTCATCACTTGTGTGGAAAATCTGTGCTCTGAAGGGCTGCCCAATTTTCGGTAATTATAACAACATTTTTTTGATGTTAAAAGAATGTATGCATAGGCCATACATTTCCTTCTAAGACCAAAAGAAACATGTTTTTCTTATGAAGCTTAATGAAAACAGTGTTTTTTGTTGTGCATTCCCGATGGTGTACAGCTAAAGGAAATTAATTCCTCTTTAACCAGCAACTGGGACTTGGAGGAGACCAGGAACAGTAACAAACAACTGCTTTGGGGCAGTCCTCACCTGAGCCCTGAAAAGCTCAGGCTGACCACACAAGCCCCTGAGGTTAATCTTGCTATTGGATTGTTCTGTAAACACTGACTCGAGTCCTGTTCTTTACATTTTTACACCACTCAGGGCTTCAAGCCAAGGCCTCGATAAAAAGAATGATTTGGTTTCTTGAAAAGCATTGGCAAAAAGCTGACCAAAGAGTCTGTTTCCAACACTACCCAGTGAAGCCTGAAAGAATCAAGACTTCCTGCCTGCAGCCTGAGAGCCACATTTGCACTGAAGGATCAAACCCATTTATTGTCCATTTAATGTCTCTTTACTGACAGCACTGAACATTCCTGCACAGGGACTGTGCCCAGCAGTACCATGGCCTGCCCACAGCCACTCAACATCCTGCTGTGAGCCCGTGTTCTGCAGCAGCTTCTTACCTACAATGTCTTCATAGGCATTTTCTTCTAAAGTGCTCTTGGATCCAAATTTATGCTGGCTCTCAGTTCCATTTTCAGTCGGGGAGGGAGGGTAGAGGGATTGCAGGCTTGAGGCATCCTCAAACTCGAAGGATTTTCTAAAGTTCAAAACCATAATAATTAGTAATAAGAATGCAAAATTATTCAAACATTTAGATGAGCATTTGCATGTTAAGAATCACGCTTTAAGGACTAGGTTTTAGCAGACACTAAGTCCTGCTCACAGCAGTCTCTTGCTGAGCCATCTATGACAGTTTTATGTTGGAAATATTGTTATCCCCCGTATGCAGACAGGAGGAAAACACCAAGACAATACGTTCTCTTTTCCCAAGTTTACAGAGTAAATTAGCAGCACAGTCCTCAGGTTAGAAATTACTTTGCTCTTTCCAGAGGCCCCAGAAAGATGTGACCCTCTGTCCTAAAGAAAGTCTCTGCAAAGCATTCTTGCACTGGTTGCTCTGGGAGATGTAGCCCTTAGTTTGACACCACTCACGTGCCTTGAGCCTTTGGATATGTTCCTGTGCAGAATTCAGTGCATAAATGCCAAAGGGAGACTCATGTGCCAGTGACCCACATCCCTTGCATGCCCCATGCCAAGAACTGGCAGCAAAGGAGAAAGCAGTGAGGAAAATGCTCTCTGGGCTACATGAGCAGCCTGGGATGATGGCTCAGGGGCTGAAGGTTTGGCCTTTCTGGCAGGAAGGTGAGGACCAGCTGGGTCAGATGAACCCACACAATTTGTCTCCCACCCACACCTGCCCCAGTGCTGCTGAGCAGTCCTAGAGGGAGAAAACCCCAAATTCTTCCCACTCTCCAGCTCAGCCAGCCCTTGTTCTCTGGGCAGTCTCTACACTCAGGGTGGGAGGCCCATGGTTTGCAGGGGCAGCAGCACAGGGGCTGCCATTCATTGCAATGATTTACTGCTGAGGATGAAATGGTGAGGAAAACAGGCTCAGGTCAGAGTGTAAATAATCCCATGGTGCTGCAAGGCTTGCATGGACTGTGCTGGTGCCCATACTGCACTCTCTGAGCCCCAAGCTAGATTAACAATAAATCATCCTGCCATCAACCCCCCTTGCTCTTCTTCCAGCTGGAGTGGAGCATATGTTACAGCATATCCATGGGGCAGTGGCAGAGTCTCATGAGACACTTTGGCCTGGGAATTTGCTTGAGCAGCCCTGCAGGTAACAGAGTGACTATTGCACAGAACACTGCATTTGAAATGAGCTTTTCCTGTTTGTCTGCTGGACAGACTTACAGCTGGGATCAGGCTTAGAGCCTCCTCTCTCTCCTTTCCCTAATCCTGAGAATATCCAGATCCAAGTTATTCACATCAGGATTGTGGCAGAAACAACCTGTGCATGTGAGATCCAGACACTGCTCCTCCATCCACAGCTACTCATAGTTACCAAGGATGCTGACACACTGAAGGCACAGCTGTGTATGAAATGAGACTTTCTGAAGTAGTTAATTATCCAGCTCCTATAGATTTCAAGGCACCACTGTGGTGTGGTGACACTGTATAGGATGATGGGGATGGCTCTGTGTCTCTCGTGTCCCCAGCCTATCCTGTGACACTCCTCCCCTGCACTGTGTGTGTGCCAGAGGATTTCCAACTGCTGGGGAACACCCAGCTCACACCACTCTGAAATGTTAAACTACTCTTGGCACCAGGTTCCCCACATCCAGCCTGGCTTTCTGCTACCAGGCAAACATGAGAAACTCCCTCCATATTGCTAGAATGTTGGATTAACCATCAAAAATAAAACCAGTGCTTTCAACCGAAGCATTAGGAAAATAAATGCCCTCAGTCCGTTCTGATGACATTGCAGTGAGTGCAAACCACATGTATGTTCAGTCTGAACACACAGCTACAAGCTGCAGGCACAATGAGTTTTGTCTGTTCTCAAAAAAAGAACAGTTTAGGTACTGAGACTTCCGTAATTACTATCAACCAAATACTGCCTTCTTAGATGACTTGTATGGTCTTTAGTGCTTTGTAAATCTTGGAGTTCTCCTTTCTGTAACTGAAGGAAGAACAGTAGCAAAGACAATAAAATTAAGATTTTTATAAAGGATTTCTACTCAGCATTGAAGTCAGCTAACAAACTTGAGATTTTTGGGAGGTTGATTTGAACTTATTTAGATCGTGATTAGCAAGACATGTATTCAGAGAAATCGTTAAAGTACAGTGGATTAAGCTGTTACAGATGAATGGATACCTACCCAGTAAAATGTCAAATTGATTTGCAAGAATTATCTGATACACACAACAACCCTGTTAATCCTACAATTTATATTCTACAATTTAAATTGATAAATAATACTTTTTGGAAGGCCCATTTCCCCCAGGCCTGTAGCTCCTTTGCTGAACTGTGCTGTTGTCTAACTCTTCTATGACAGGAGACTGAATCTGCAGAAAAGCAGGTGCAAGCAGAGTTCTACCTCTTCTGGAGAGAAGCTTCAAAACTTCATTTCAAAAACTCATTGTGATAAAATCCTGTGATTCTTAGATTACTAGCCCGTTTTCCAGTAAAGGGTATCATTTACACCAGAACATTTAATTATTGTTTGTCTTCTGCACATTGCAAATGCTGTGCTGAACAAACTGAGGGCAGCTTTCCTTCACAAATTTTCCTTAAAAACTAGATTTACTTCCTCTGAGATTATTTCCAGGACTCAAAGACAAGCACTGCTGATTAGATCTTGACTTTCCACATCCCCCCACACTTTTCTGGAAGGAACAAAATGCCTCAGCAGAGCTGTTTGATCTTTCAGAAGCAGGTGTCTCCTGAGAGAAAAGGACAGAACCTGAAGGCTCCTCTTCTCTTCTTGTCCTAGTATAATTCAGATGAGGGTGTGCTAAAAAACTTCTAATAATTGAGCCAAGCAGCAGAATCTGAAGGGATAGTGTGCATCTGAGATGCTGTTTAGCAGTTTCTTGCAAATCTCATCACTAAGTATCAAGGGAGATTGATGAAGAACTCGTTAAAAATGCTGCAATTTGAATGCTTAGCAACAACTACGCCTACAATTTTACAAGCAATGAGCAGAATGAGTTTTACCATGTCTAAAACTCAAGAGGAATAACGTGATTAAAACAATCCAAGATCCACAAATTGCTGGGGAATTGTAGCCATACACTCTCCCCATCATTAACTCAGGAAGGACATAGAGGACTTTCTGTGATAAAACAGTTTTCTCAGCATTTATCCTCTACAGCTGTTAATAATAATTTAGGATAATATTCCAAAGGACTGAATTAAATAAAAGCACCTACATTGCATAAAACTGATACAACTGCTATAGTAATGAACTTTGGAAATAAAAAATCTCTGCAGGTACATTTTACAGGAAGAAAAGACTATGAGGGATCAGCTATGGTCCCACTATGGGACAATAATAAAATCATGGTCCATTGAAAATCACAAATAAGGGCATTTGTGCTAGAATGAATTAGATAACCTTTAGCATACCCAACCTCGGGCTTTTTTGGGGGATCGAGGGATGCAGATTTTAGAACTCCAAAACTGAAGGTATTCAAAGGTATTGTACCAATGCATTCCATCAGTGCAGAAAAAACCACTTGTCTTGCATGCAATTTCTAGATTTTCCTTTGTCAAAAGCACTGCATTAGAAGGAGAATTTAAAACCTTGCTACTGCGAAGATATAGCCCACTTATTTATTTGGAGAATCGAGCTAATTCCCTTGACTTTTACCTATTCTGGGATTTTCTGTGGAAGCGCGACTCTTTCTTCTGCCTCCTGGTGACGGGGGGTGCAGGAGTGGACGGGAGGGGAGGAGGAGCAGCAGGGGTGGGAGATGGAGGTAAGCCATTGCTGGCTTTGCTTTTGTGGGATTTGTCCGCCTCGTACTCAAAGGTGCGTTTGGGTTTGGGGACGGGATTCACGGCGCTGCTGGCCGCGCTTTCCAGGAGCGCTTTGGGGCCAGCTGAGTTTGCAGCGAGCCCCTGTTTTGTTTTACTGCTTTTCTCAGCATCGGGAGGTGTTTCTGGTTCGCTCCCCAAAATAACACTCCCTCCTTTGCTATCGCTCAGGGTTTCGCTCAGTCCCTCCACAGTACTCAGAGTTCCAGACTTTTTCCTCCCTTTATCAACACTGTAGCAGCTACTCGGTAGCTGGGGGAGGCCTCTGCCCGACTGCTCCTTCAGTGCCTGCTCGATCTTCTGGATTCTGTTGAGCACAGCAGAGGACTCTTTCCTCACGTGGCTCTTAAGGAAAGTGGAAGAAGGAGGTTCGCTCCTGCCCGGTCTCTTTTCAAACCGATGGCAGGAATCCCTGTCCAGCAGTTCCTCCTCCTCTGTTTCTGGGTAAGAGCACTCGGAAAATGTTCGGCTCATCCTTCTGAGCCCTTTGAAATCAAAGGTCTTGTCGCTGCAGGGAGAGGTGAGCACGCTGGGGCAGCTCTCACTGCCCGACCTCTCCCCAGCATCCCTCTTGTCCATGCACACGCTGGTCCTGGGGGACAGCTCCCGGCGACATTCCCATTCTGAGATCTTCTGCCTGATGTCCAGCGCCTGCGAGCGGACGCTCACCCTGCTGGTGGACAGGGTCCTCAATTTGCTGGCAGTGCCCAAGGACAGAGTGCTGCGGGCGAGTGGATGGCTCCCTATCGCCTCCCCATCCTGAGCCTCATGTGGCCTCTCCTTTTGGTCAGCCCTGAACACGGAGAGCCTTTTGTCCAGAGCACCCACGCTGATGGCTTTGAGGGGGTGGCTCGGGCAGTCGGTGTCCGAAGGGCTCGTGGAGCTGCTGCGCAGCGGGGACGCGCGGCTGCTCCGGTCCTGCAGGCACAGCCGGGAGCCGGAGACTTTGGAGAGCCCGGTAGAGCGAGAAGAGTCCTCGCTGTCGCTGAGGGGGTAGGCAGGGCTTCTCTGTGGGGACAACAAGGGTGGCAGAGTGGCTGACTGGCACCTGGAAACAGAAAGAAATAAAACATCAAGGCCTTGGGGAAACCGGAGTTATTTGCCAGCTTTCTTCTGGCTGCAGGTCTCCACGCTCTCCGGCCCCAAAGCATCACTAAGCCAGCAGTGAGCACTCAGCCACAGAGTCAGGGTGGGAGGTGTCAGCCTGTAACTGTGATAGGCCATGAGCAGGACACTTGGCACATCCAGAACAAGTTTTCTCACCTCTCACCCCCAGCTCTTCCAAGTTTCCTGAACTTAAAGCCAGCTGAGATTCTCACAGCAAACCTCTGCCTTGAAAGCATCTACAACCTGCAGACGAGTAGACCTGGTTCGTCTTTGGTCTGATGCTGTGGCCAACAGATTAAATTCCCCTTATCAAACAGAAGTGATTTCTTATCAAAATAATATTACACACTGAGAAAACACATTGATCTGCTCGCACTATGTGTTGAAGAACATAAACTACACAGAAAGATCTCAGTGTTACCCTGGAAAAAACCCTTGGAACAAATTCTAGCCATGGTTTGCAAAGTCAGCTATTGTTACCGGGATTTTGTACATTGTTGCAAGGACTTTTAAGAACAAAAAGACACAAGGAAATTAAATAACACATTAATCATTTGGCTCATCAGTGATGAGCCAGCAGTAAGGAAATTAAGCCAAAACCATGTCAAAAAGGGGGTTTGCCGCCCTGCCAAAATCCATATATACAAATAATAGCAGAAACGATCACAACTCCTTTAACAATAACTCCTTTCTGTTCCAAAAAGTACAAGAAACAGAGCAAAGACCCCTAAGCAATGCCTTGCATATGCTATTAAGTTTATGCTGTGTGAAGACTGTGGACAACAAGCTGTTTTTTATCAACTGTCCTGTACACAGGAAAGATCCAAATGAAAGAAACTGCTTGACCAAAAGAAATCAGAGGAGCAAATGTCTGCACTATAGCAAAGGGAGAAGAGATTCAGAAGATCTCTGCTGCTATATTGTTTTCTTCCCAACAGCCAGCCAATATCTACAGCAGAAGTTCCAATTTCTGTATATTAATCCAAAAAATCCAGAGCACTGGGGTGATTTCTAAAAAATTTATTTTGTCACAGGAAATATTTTCTTTTCCTTCAAATGCAACCCCAAACCAAATTATCAGATTTCATCCCAGTTTTCTACAGCAGATACTTCACAATCAAAGCTCAAAAATATCACAGAAAAGTTCTGGTCAGAAAAAGACAATAATCAAATTATCACAAAAGGGAACTGATCTCTTTTTTCAGAGGCCTGAGACAAGCAAGTCTATTTGTCACAGAAGTTACACAGCTCGGTGACTTTTATTTCTTTACTGTTTTGAAAGATAAACATGCCTCTAGGAAAAGAGATCTCATGTCAAAGATGATGGCAAATACTCCTACAACAACTGCCTAAAGCAGTTATTCCAGGACAGAAAGGAAGCATGCCAGAATACGTTCTTTGCATCCTAGAAGTTGAATTTCCTGCCGTTCTATACAGCTGCAGACAGGTGTCTTAAGAGATCTCAGAAGATCAAAAGCAGGTGACAGACCATGAGAGGTTTTGGCTGGCTGTTGCAGCTCAGTTTGTAGTGGATTACCTGGAATTACCTTGGCAGACATACTCTTACAGTGCCTGAAGATGAAACCTAACTCAGCCTCCTCAGGCTTACTGGGGCACCCTGATCCTTCATTATTTCAGCCTGTCTCATGTCACTTTCTTCAGGTTAATACCACAAAACCAAATTTTAATGTTATTCATAACACTGCCTTAGATTTGAGATCACATTCTCCTAATCTTTCATGTCGTGCAGAGCTGCACTGACATTTCTCTCAAGGAAACAGGCATCACCCAGTGGGAGTGTATTTTATGTCTAAAGACTACAGCCTCCACTACAGCCTTGGAAGCTGCATGTTGGCTAAATCCACTGCCAGGATTCAGCTACAGGATAGGGACAGAAGGAGCTCTGTGGAATGCTTTAGCATGTTACAACTTGCTTATAAGACTGATCTGTACTGGCAATTGCAAGAATAAAATATAAAATGACAGGGGTAAGGTCAATAAAATGGGACAGCAGAGGTGAAGAACATGCTGACAATCAGAGAACCACAGACACCTCTCTCTGCCTTTGACACACTGCACAGAAAGTACCACAGGCATAATCCTTTATCTCCTCACAATCTAAGAAATATCTTCTCAGCTATTTCCATTGTCAGGAAAAGGTTTGGTGATTCATCAGGGAGGGAGGAAAAGGGGAAAATTGTGGTTTTCATAACCTGAAGAAGTTGCAAAACATTTCTTCTTAAGAGGTATGAGTCATTCTTTTAAACCCCAGGTTCCCAGTAAGGTAACTGCAATAAACCCCCAAATTCGGTTACAAAACTCCCAATCACTTCCACCGTACTCGACCAGGGCTGCAGAGCCACGGGCCTTCTGCAGGAGTTTGCCCTCAAAGATTTGGGTTACCTCAGTTAAGATATTCTATTTTACACTGCATTACACTCTAAATTTGAGTAATTCAGAGAATCTATAGGACTTATTCAACAACAAAGAGGAACAGAGCTTTGTCCCAAAGGTTTCAGCATGCATTCTCTAAAGAATGCTGGTAAGTAACAGAATGAAAGAAATAAACAAGTCCAAAAGCTGATCAGGATTATTTCCTTGAGGATATCAGCATTTCACAAAAGACACTGTTAGAAGTTGCTCTGATTCCCTGAGGGCATTCTTCCAATACTCAGCCTTGGGTGTGCAGTGCCCAAACCCCTGGCAAGGCAGGTGTGCACTGCAGTCTCAAAGGCTGCCCAGCAGCCCACGATGTCATTTAAACAAGTGACAGATCCTGGAATTACCTTTCTGCTGGGACTCGTTGCTGCTCACCGAGGAGAGCAGACAGAATCCAAGAATCCAAGAGGTGCTTCCCTGCTCTCTAGACCATGCTCAGCTTTGCTGCTGTGATTTGTTCCTTGAGAAATCAGCAGCCACCCACAGTAGGAGGAAACTGATATTATCAGCCATGCTCTGTAGGTACAACTGATCTTCATATTCTGATTCAGTCTTTTCTCTTCACTTTCTCACCCAAATGTAGAAAAAACTTGTAATTTACAAAAACTCTAATTCCTGAGGGCTCCTCTCAAATATTCATATATATCCTATTGTTTTCTCTAGTAAAGGCTTCTCCTTTCACCAGGCCCAGTTACATGTGGATAACAGTGGAGCTGCATCTCAGCTGCACCAAGAAGAGAACAGACACACTTGCTTTAAGATAATTTACAACCTACTTGTCACAAGGCAAAAGATGAAAAAACTCAGTTCCTGCCTTTTAGCAAGGCTGACTTATACTAAGAATCTATGGGGATGGGGAAGGGCTCGTTCTTCATGCCAAACAGGCCTGAATTCTCACCCCCTATCTGACCCAAAAGTCAAAAAGTCTTCAATTTTGGACAAAACACCAATACTCTTCCTGCAAAATGTGGGTGCTGACAACATTTGTCTGTTTGTAGAAGAGGAAAAATTTAGCTCCTGGAAACCACTCTGAAAGTGAGCAACACAAAATTAGGGGGCTTGGCCTTTTGATGCAGTTGAGCAGAAGCACAGCCCCTTCGTGCTTCCAATGCCAAACATCAACTCCAGAAAAGGGGAGAAATGGGTGCAGAAAATCCCCACAATTTCATGAGTGACTTTTAACAACATGAGGCAGCAAGAAGGATGGCTCAAGAGCTGGGTTTGTGTCTTTTGGAAATCAGAGTACAGGTGGATAATCAGAATGTGCATTTATTGAGGCATTGGCATCCAAGATCCACACAATTTATATACACTAAGAAAAATCTTAGCGTGCATTTCAGGCTTTAACAGTGACTGGAGGGTGCTTAACTGACTTGCCTTGAAAGAGTTACAGGACTCCAAACTCTCACTGCCCTGTTCTGACCTCTGAGCTAAGCAGCTCAGAACTCTGCTGCACTGTTTTAGCTTTCCTGCAGTGTCAGGAGTGAGCCCACAGATCATCCTGTCCTGAGGAAAGACAAGCTGGAAGAAGCCACTCAGCAATTTTTCAGTTTTGCAAATCCCATCTGCTCTTCTTAAACCAACACAGAATGGTAGGGCAGATTTTGGCTCTCTGGTCCGGGAATTTCCCACTTCAACATGCTCATGCATGGGAGCCTATTTACTGAAAAAGAACAAGGAACATGATGACAAAAAGGTACTGAGTTTTTCAGGCTCCTGTTGATGAGATTCTGTCATTTCCCAGCGACACTGATGCTGGGTACAAAGACTCCCAGTATTGGTTTTACTCCTCAGGACTTTGTCCCCACTTTTTGTTAGGAAAAATATTGCTTTCTTAGTATTTTATTTAGGAGTTTTTTTCTCATTCCTGGTTCTTCTCAGGGCATTGTGCCATTTCATCAGGACAACCTAACCTGTTTCAGGGTAACAATAACATCAGAATCAGCTGTAACTACAGGATTGTGAGTTTGGGAATGAGAAGATCTGGCCAGCACTGGAGATTTCTTGTTGCTCTAGCCAATATTTAAGGAGATCTGAAACAAAAGCAACAGAAATTTCTCTTTGCAAGGGCAGCAAAACTCATGTTTAATACATACACTAAAGCTGCCCTGATAGGTAAATGAGGATGTAACATGAAAATTCTCTGGAAAGTTGTAAGAGAGAATGCTGAGGAATGTTCACCTACCAGCTGCCAGCCCCTCTGAGTGCAGACACTGGAATCCATCCTTGCCAGAGCAAGGCAAAGTGAGAGGGAAGCACACCCTGCTCATCTGTTAACTGGAACCATTCACTCACTGTACCATGCACCTTTTGATGCACAGCTGCTGAGAACACATGTGATGGCTCACTATGATACTCATTTATATCAAACTTCCACTTGATTTGACAAAGCAGGCAGAGGAGAGAAAACATGTACAGACCAACAGAAGTTCAAATTAAAACGGTGTTTATGTCCCATTCCTCCTGGGACCTGGACAAGCACTTTTACAGAGGTTCAGTAAG